TGCTTCAACATATAATCAATACAAAATTATTAACAAGCTATTTTACGTTATTTTTTTCACATCTAGTCTTCAAGTATGTGTATTGTACACTGTAGTAGGTTTCCATTCAGACTAACCAAACATCAGTGCTTCATAGCTACACGAGGCTAGGGACCTACCCTGTTGAAGCACAGCTGTAGAGTTCGTCCCCATCCTTCTGTGACCCTTGGAGTCCTGGAGGGCAGCTTGTTTTAACCCGAGTGGGAGGGAAGAGCTCAACCCACTGCATCCGACTAGGAATGGCTCACCACTCAGCCCTGCAACTACACAGTTGTCTTGCTACTCCCAGAGATGGGGAGCAGTGAACTTCCAAGGCCTCCCGTTCTGGTGCCTTCTTCTTCCCCAACTCCATTTTAACCACATTTACCCCTTGTCTGTGTTCCACACACCGGTGCTTTCTCTGCTTCTGCCTTTCCGAAGCTTGCCTTGCCTGGGTCCCTTTCCCCCAGGACCGCGTCTCGGAGCTGGGGGGATAACGGTGATAAGCACTGGGATGGCTGGTGTAAATGAACTGAAGCAGGAGGACACACCCCCCTACCTCAACATTTCATTCTGCTCCGGATGAGAAGTGGCCATGGGACAGAACATCAGGACTTAAAGAATCTGCGAGCCCCTAGTCTAAGTGCTTTGTTCTGCTTTTAAAATTCAGGTGACACGTCACACAAAATTAACCATTTTAGTGTTCAACTCATCAATCTTCAGTCCATGTACAGTGTGGTATACTGCCAACTCTGTCTAGTTCTGAAGCATTTTCACTGCCCCAACCGAAACGCCACACCCAGTCAACAGTCACAGCCCAAGGCCCCTCCCCCCAGCCCCTGGTAACCACCAACCTGCTTTCTGTCTCTGTGGATTTACACATTCAGGATATTTCATTTACATGGGATCACACATCAGGGGAACTTCTGTGTGTGGCTTCTCTCACTTAGCACGCTTTCAAGGCTCGCCCATGCTGCAGCTTGGTTCATTCATTTTTATATTTTTATCTCATCCATTCATCTTTATTGCTGAATAATATTCTCTTGCATGGACATACCACATTGTACTTGTCTATCCATCATTGGTGGTCATTCAGGTTGTTTCCACCTTTTGGCTCTTGTGGATAGTGATGCTAGGAGCATCTGTGTGCACACGTTCTCATCTGAATACCTAGCTGCTCTTCTCTGGGGTATGTATCCAGGAATAGGCTTATTGGAGCATATGGGAATTCTGAGTTTTAAGTTTTCAGGAATCACAAATCTATTTTCTAGAGTAGCAGAGTCATTTTACACTTGCCCTAGCAATCCACAAGGGTTCCAACCAATTTCTGCACATCCTTGACAACTCTTGTTATTTTATTGTTTTCAATTTTATTTTTGTTAAGGATTTTATTTATTTATTGAGGGGTAGAGTTACAGACACAGAGAGGGAAAGAGAAGAAAGGTCTTCCATCTGCTAGTTCACTCTCCAAAAGGCCACAATGGCCAGGGCTGAGTTGATCTGAAGCCAGGAGCCAGGAGCTTCTTCCAGGTCTCCCACGTGGGTGCAGGGGCCCAAACACTTGGGCCATCTTCTCCTGCTTTCCCAGGCCATAGAAGAGAGCTGGATTAGAAGAGGAACAGCCAGGGCATGAACCGGCGCCCATATGGGATGCTGGCTCCACAGCCTTAGCCTACTATTGCACAGTGCCGGCCCCTGTTTTCAATTTTAATTATAGCCACTCTAGTGTATCAAACCCAGGTACTGCGATATGGGACACAGGACTCTTAACCAGTGTCTTCATAACTAGGCCAACATCTGCCCCTCTGGTAGTTTTTAAGTGGTGTCTTGAAAAGCCACCAGGGGCTACTATGTGAGAAAGAGAAGGCTGAGCACATAGCAATGGCATTCAAGGATTCCACACTGGTGTGAGTGTTTTTAGCAGCTGTTAAGGTGTTGCCTGAGGTGCCTGCATCCCAAATCAGTGTGCCTGGGTTTGAGTCCTGGCTCCGCTGCTGAGTCCAGCTTCCTCCTAATGCATACCCTGGGATGCAGCAGGTACTTGCATTCCTGCCAACCACGAGAAAGACCAGACTGAGTTCCTGGCTCCTGGCTTTGATCTGACCCAGCCCTGCCTGTTGCAGATATTTGGGGAGTGAGCTAACAGACAGGAGATCACTCTTTCTCCCTCTGTCTATCTGGCTTTCAATATTTTTAAAAATTATTTTTTAAAGATTTATTTGTTTTCTTGAAAGGCAGAGTTACACAGAGAGGGGGAGAGACAGAGAGGTCTTCCACCCACTGGTTCACTCCCCAAAAGGCCACAATGGCCAGGGCTGGACCAGGCAGAAGCCAGGAGCCAGGAGCTTCTTTGAGGTCTCCCACATGCCCAAGCACTTGGGCCATCTTCCACTGCTTTTCCAAGGCCATTACCAGGGAGCCGGATCAGAACTAGAGTAGCCAGGACATGAACTGGCGCCCCTTTGGGATGTTGGAGTCACAGGTGCCACAGCGCCGGCCCCTTTCATTTTTTTTGAAAGTGTTGCAATATATCATTAAAAAAAAAAACCCATAGTCGCCTACTACACCCACTCCACTTTTATCCACGTATTTGACATGTTTGACTTCTCATGAAATATTCCTTTTGAGCAAAGGCTTCTGATGTTATCCTGAGTTTGCAGTCCTTTATCTGCTGTTGTGTTTTTCCCGTCTCCACTTGGATAGCCTCTTGAGATTGGTAACCTCCGAAACCAACAGTGGAGTCCTATTTATCGGACTCTGGTCACCTTCTCTGTCCTCTACACCACTCTGCCCGTGGTAACAACAATAATGGTTATTACTTGATATTAAACACTTACCCTGTGGCAGGCACCGTGGTAAGCCCAGCCATGTGACCCATCCATCCTAAGTCCATGATGTCCACGCTTTTACGAGGCACGCATCACACTCAGACGTCCTCACCACCACGGGCAAGCACCTCTCCTACCCCATACCTGCCCCTCTTCCACTCATTGACTCTGTGTCTATCCCAGCCACACACCCTTCCCAGCTGCTCTGGAGAAGCCAGTGTGAGCCCATCTCACAGCTGCTCCTCACTCTGCTCTCCTGTCCCCGTCACGATCAACACTCAGGTGATACAGTTTTCATAGACTTGCAGCAACAGATGATTGGGTTTTATCCCAAGCCCCCATAGCAGGCTTTGATGCCTCCCCCCCCCCTTTTTTTTTTTTGACAGGCAGAGTGGACAGTGAGAGAGAGAGAGAGAAAGGTCTTCCTTTGCCATTGGTTCACCCTCCAATGGCCGCCACAGCCAGTGCGCTGCGGCACCGCGCTGATACGATGGCAGGAGCCAGGTACTTATCCTGGTTTCCCATGGGGTGCAGGGCCCAAGCACTTGGGCCATCCTCCACTGCACTCTCGGGCTACAGCAGAGAGCTGGCCTGGATGAGGGGTAACCGGGACAGAACCCGGCGCCCCGACCAGGACTAGAACCCAGTGTGCCGGCGCCGCAAGGCGGAGGATTAGCCTAGTGAGCCGCGGCGCCGGCCTGATGCCTCCTTTTAAAACTAAGGTAGCTGGGTAAAATCAATTGCTCAAGGTCACACATTCTCATAGGCACACTCTCATTCATTTTGTTGAAGAAATCTTTTAAAATCTCTATTTAGAGCTAGGCATAGGGATAGATGTCATGTGGGATAAAAGATGAAAGAGAAAATCCTGTCCTCAAGGAAGTTACAGACTGGTGGGACAGGTGAGAGAGGAACACAGACGTCTGTAGTGTTGGCTGGGAATCTGAGGTGCATGCCCGCTGATCACGCACAGGTGCAAGGGTTTCATTAGCACGAGGTTCAGCTGCACACACAGGGAAATCCCAGGAACCGGGGCTTAACTAAGACAGCGATCACCTTGTTGCATAGAGGTGGCCTGGAGGCAAACAGACCTTGGACTGAGGTTGTCAGTGATCCAGGCTCCTTCTTTCCTTCCAGAATCCTTAGAGCATGGCTTCCATTTTAATGGTTCAAGGTAGTGCTAGACCACCAGCTACCCTACCCGCATTCCACATCGTACCAAAGATGACGGGGAGGGTGAATCCAGAACACTTCCTAGCTGAGTCGATCCTTTTTAAGCAGCCTTCCCAGAGGCGCTACTCACACTTCTACTGAGAGTTTACCGATGGGCACATGTTCACTTGGCCTCCATTAATTGCAAGGGATACTGGGTAATACTTTTCCAGAGCTTGTGTCACGTCAAGTAAAATTGGGGCTTCAGTCCAAGGAATAAGGGGGGAATGGATATTAGCAGACACCTCATAGTCTATTACAGACATTTATGTGAAGCACTTTTTTTTTTTTTTTTTTTTGACAGGCAGAGTGGACAGTGAGAGAGACAGAGAGAAAGGTCTTCCCTTTGCCGTTGGTTCACCCTCCAATGGCCGCCGCGGCCGGTGTGCTGCGGCCGGTGCATCGCGCTGATCTGAAGCCAGGAGCCAGGTGCTTTTCCTGGTCTCCCATGGGGTGCAGGGTCCAAGGACTTGGGCCATCCTCCACTGCACTCCCGGGCCACAGCAGAGAGCTGGCCTGGAAGAGGAGCAACTGGGACAGAATCCAGCGCCCCCACCGGGACTAGAACCCAGTGTGCCAGCGCCGCAAGGCGGAGGATTAGCCTATTGAGCCACGTTGCCGGCCGTGAATCACTTTTTAATAGTAATAATTTGGAAAAAAAATAACATTTAAAAACATGGTTGGTTCAATAAATGTATTGATTCATTAATACCATACATGCTTAAGCACTGCACGTTAGAAGAACATTCAATGACATGGCTAAATGTCTGTGATCCCATGTTTATGTTGTTCTAAGGAAACAAGGTATCATGCAAGGACTGTAGGAACATCTACTTGATATAAAAGAATTATGGTACTGTGACTTTCTTTAAAGAAGGGTCCTCATCGTTTAGAGATACACTTAGGGATGAAATGATGTGATGTCTGGAATCTGATTTACAGTGAAAGAGGAAAAGGGTGAGATGAGAGAACTTAAACAGAATGAGAATGGCTACGTGTGGAAGTAGTAGCCTACTGGTCAACATGCCCGTGTCCCACACTGGAGAATCTGCGTTCAGTTCCTGGCCAAGGCTCCTGCCGTCAGCTTCCTACGAGTGCAGATCCTGGGAGGCAGCGGTGATAACACAAGCAACGGGATTCCTGCATCCACGTGGGAGCCCTGACGGGAACTTCCTGGGATCCCTCCTTCCAAGGAAGAGGTCGAACACCTTGGTTTCCAAACAATCTTTCAGTGCTGGTTTTCTTGAGTACCATGTTTTTTTTTGTTTTGTTTTTGTTTTTTTTTTTTTTTTTGGTTCTGGGACTTCTCTGCCATTGATACTTCTAGAAGATAGATGTTAATAACATTAGTAATCACAACAGTCAGCATTTGGATGCCAATCATGAATCAGATAAGACAAAGCATCTTTTAAGCTTTAATTTGCTTGATTCACACAACCATCTTTATGAGGCAGTTCTATGACATATTATCTGCTTTTTACACATGAAAAGATAGGCTCATACAGGGTATATCACTTGGTCAAGGTCACAGGGCTGGTATGTACTAAAGCTGGGTTTCAAGCCCAAGCAGTCTGGCTCCAGAGTCCAACAGGCAGGAGAAAGTAGCAGACAGGGCACAATTCAAGTGCAGCTCTGTTCAGAAGGCTATATCCACTTTGTACACTGAATTCTGCAGTTGCTGACAAAGTTCCAGGTCTGGGGACTCGGGAGGGAGACCCCAGTACTTCTCCCAAGGCAGAGGGAATCATTCCAGGCCCCTGTGGTGGAGAACAGAAGGGACTGGCGTGGAGTGCTCCTGTTAGGCTGGGCAGACAGCAGACGGAGGCTCAGCTGGCATGCACCTGCTTGGTCCTGTGGGCCCTTCCCAGCTGTGACAGTTTTGATTAGTCCCATGCCTCTGGCGCACCAGTTGCCAAGTATCTTTTGGACAGAGGGAAGGATGGCTGCTTTGTAAGGATTTAGAAGTTGGATGATCTCATCAGAGGAGGTGAGAAGGATCTCAGAAAATAATACAGAGCTCTCCGAGGTGGCCGGATGGCCAGGCCATGTGCTTGATGGCTCTTCACAGGCCTGCACAGGCTCCAGGATCTCAGAAATACTCAGAAATATTGCTGGGTTGGCCCCTCTCATTTGGAAAAAAAAAAAAAAAAATCACTCCTGGCCGCCGGAAGTGTGCTGTAGTAGACACACCTCCACCTCACCGGAAGTTCTCCAAGAACCTCCCACCTTGATATTCTTTGGGGAAACAGCCCTCCCTCCTCTCCACTTGCCTTTTTGGTGGGACTGTCTTTCAGGGGCCCATTCTCCCAGCCCCAGGAGTGGGATCAGGGAGGCTGCTCACACGCCTGCTGAGAGTATGAACCTTGAGTCAAAAGACACAAAGATAGAAAAAGTACGGATGAACAAGCAAGCCTAGGACTGGTATCCTGCGATGCAGCCAGTTAGCCCTTTTCCTTCAACTGCATCCCATAGCGTGATATTACTTTCATTTCCTCAAGTTATCTGGAGTCCATGTCTGCAGCCTGTAACCAAAACACCAACAACAAGCCCTAACTCCCAGGGTTCACTCTCTAAGGCCAGTGCTTTACAAGCCTTTCGGCCCAAAGGACAGACCTGTCTCTCCTAGCCCGCCTCCCCCAACCCCAGGACCTGCGTCCTCTCTCTCGTGCTTCCTTCCGGAGCTTTCAGGGCTAGGGTGGGAAAGGGCTCTTGTCAATGTGCGCGGCTTTACCTTGAGGGATGAGTGAAGACACCCTTTAAATTACCTATAAAACCCTTTGATTCCCTCAGCAGAGGTTGCCATGGGCAATTTGCTAAGCTTATTGATTATTTTCTGTTTAAATTAAAGTTTGATGTCCTGGAACCGGCTGTGCGGCGCATGGAGTTAATGGAAAAGGTTGCGATCCAGGGGGAGAGCCACTCAGTGGGGAAATGGAGGGTATTCAAGGGGAAAACAGGGAGTCTAGAAAGAGAAGATTGTCAGCGCCAAGTTGTAGCAAACATGATGGTGAGAAGAAAAAAGAAGGGAATTATTTTATGGAGAAGGGCAGTTTCCTGGGCATTTAAGGCTTCAGGGAGGTAGTGGAAAAAATGTATTCACTCCACAAATATTTGCCGAGTTCTTGCCATGTGTCTGGGAGAAAACAGGGACGCTGTGCGCCCAGTCAGGGATTCTCAGAGTGTGGTTCCTGCTGTCGCTGCGTCCCCACCGCCTGATGCAGGACCCCAGTTTCTGTTTACTGTAACAGAATGCCCAAGGCCGGAGACTTTGCAAAGAAAAGAGGGGCTTTCAGCTCACAGCTCTGAGTCGCAAGGGCACGGTGCTGGCATCAGCTAGGAGCTGGGGAGGGCCTCCTCCTGGTGGATGGATCCCAACGGTGGGAGTGCGTGCAGGCGGAAGTGATCGCAGGTGGAAGCCTGCAGAGAGCAATTCAGGGCTCGGGCTAGGCTTTTATTACAACTGCATTTATGCAGAACTAACTCAGGGATCCTACGAGAAATATCTTAATCCCTCTGAGGCTGGTACCCTCAGTGATCTCCCACTGGGCTCCACCTCTTAAAAGTCTCACCACCTCTACACCCCCACACCGAGGACCAAGTCTCCAGCACATGGACCTTTTGCCAGGCGGGAGCGGGGGCAGGGGGCGGGGGGTGGGGGGCGTGGCAAACCGCAGCGCCCGGGAACAAGTCAGACACGCATGCTCAGGCCTCACCCAGACACGCTGAAACGCTGAGGGCCCGTGGGGACAGCCCCTCCCAGGTGAAGCGGGTGCACCCTGCAAGGTGAGCTCCTCTGTTCTGGATCCTTCTGAGGAAGGGACGTCCGGCTTCTGCACGCCAGGAGCTCCCTACGAGTCAGTCTTCTGTGGCCAGCATCTGTTGAGAATTTCTCACTGCAGGCCGTACGCTAAGCGCAGGGTGCAGATGACCTCACTGTATCCTTACAACAGCCCTGCACTTAGAAGACAGCATGGGGGTGGGGGTGCACTGGAAGCAAGAAGGGCAGGGAGAATTCAAGTGCAAGAGCCTCGCCACTCCGCTCAGCTGTCTCCCCAACACCAGCTCCCCCAAGCTCTGGGATCCGCCCTGCCCTGGGCAAAGCTGATCTGCTGTTAGATTCAGAAGCCTGGTTTCCTCCGAGAGGAGCCCTACGCTGAGGTTGGGTTTTAGATGTTTGGGGAAGTAGAAGAAGGACAGGAAGTATGGGATGGACTGAGAAAGAAGCAGAAGCCATGCTGGCTGTGGGGGGCCAGACCAGCGGCCCCCGCCTGCACAGCCATCCTCCTCCTGTGGGAGGCTCGGAGCCACATCACTGCGGACTGATCCGGTGTGGGGGATTCGCATCAATTCAGTCCAGGGGGACTCCGTGTCGGGTCGTGTAGAAGTCAAGTCCTTTAACGCTTCCATTTGCAGGGTGTTTTCCACCGCTACTGTCACAAAATCAGGACGCCTTTCCTTGGACTGCTGTAAAAATCACCCCAAAGTAAGTGAGATACCCAGCAGACTCATAGAATGGCAGATGTCCTAAATAGCACTCTGGCCTCAGAATCAGCCCTAAAGCCATTCGGATCTGGCTGAAAAGCCCATGAGAGTATTTCAGGCATGGAAAGCCAAGACACTCTGGCAAAAGATCTCTGTGAGTGAGATCTCAGTGGAAAGAACAGGTCTTCAAAGAAGGAGGTACCTTTCTCTGAAGGGAGGAGAGAACCTCCACTTTGACTATGACCTTGTCTAAACAAGATAAGAATCGGAGAACTCAGAGGGCTTCCATAGCCTTGGGAACTCATGACTGGAGCATAGGGAGATTACTGATGCCATAGACAGGAGTGTCAATTGGTAAAGTCAACAACAGGAGTCACTGTGCACTTACTCCTCATGTAGGATCTCTGTCCGTAATGTGCTGTGCATTGAGATTTAATGCTATAATGAGTACTCAAACAATATATTTCACTTTGTGTTTCTATGGGGGTGCAAACTGTTGAAATCTTTACTTAATGCATACTAAACTGATCCTCTGTAAAAAAAAAAAAATTATCAACTCCCAACTTGACTCTCACTGGGATTAAACATGACAATAGGTCTGATCTGATTTCATCATCATTTTAAAAAAATCATCTATTATTCCTCACTTTATGTTTCTGTGTGGGAGCAAACTGTTGAAATCCTTACTTAATGTATACTAAGCTGATCTTCTGTATATTAAGATAATCGAAAATGAATCTTGATGTGAATGGAAGGGGAGAGGGAGTGGGAAAGGGGAGGGCTGTGGGTGGGAGGGACGGTATGGGGTGAAGCCATTGTAACCCATAAATCGTACTTTGGAAATTTATATTCATTAAATAAAAGTTAAAAAAAAATCACCCCAAAGTTCATGGTTTAAAACAACTTGAGGGGCACGTGTTTGGTGCAGCAGTTAAGATGCTACTCCGGATGCCTGCATCCCATATCCGAGTGCCTGGCTCCACGCCAGCTTCTTCCTAATGTGCACTATGGGAAGCAGCAGGTGATGGCGCACGTGCTTGGGTTCCTGCCACCCGGGAGAGCTGCGGTGAGTTCCTGACTCCCGGCTTCTTCCTGCCCACCCCGGCACTTGTGGGCATTTGAGGAGTGAAACAGCGGATGGGTGATCTCGATCTCTCTGTCTGTCTGTCTGTCTCACCATCTCTGCGTCTCTGACTTTCATATACATGAAACATTAATAAAGAAATATTTTTTTTGACAGGCAGAGTGGACAGTGAGAGAGAGAGACAGAGAGAGAGAAAGGTCTTCCTTTTGCTGTTGGTTCACCCTCCAATGGCCGCCACGGCCGGCGCGCTGCGGCCAGCACACCGCGCTGATCGATGGCAGGAGCCAGGAGCCAGGTGCTTTTCCTGGTCTCCCATGGGGTGCAGGGCCCAAGCACCTGGGCCATCCTCCACTGCACCCCCTGAATAAAGAAATATTTTTAAAAATTTATAAAATGACATGAATCTGTTCTCACATTTCTGGAGTCTAAAATCCAGGTGTTAGCAGGGCTGCATTTCTTCTGGAGGCTTCTAGGTAAGCGTCACTTCCCTACCTTTTCCAGATTCTTCTTTTTTTTTTTTTTTTTTGTAAAGATTTATTTATTTATTTGAAAGTCAGAGTTACACAGAGAGAAGGAGAGGCAGAGAGAGAGAGAGAGAGAGAGAGAGAGAGAAAGAGGTCTTCCATCCCATGGTTCACTCCCCAACTGGCCGCAATGGCCAGAGCTGCGCCGATCTGAAGCCAGGAGCCAGGAGCTTCCTCCAGGTCTCTCACATGGGTGCAGGGGCCCAAGGACTTGGGCCATCTTCTACTGCTTTCCCAGGCCATAGCAGAGAAGCTGGATCGGAAGAGGAGCAGCCAGGACTAGAACCGGCGCCCATATGGGATGCCAGCACTGCAGATGGCGGCTTCACCTGCTATACCACAGCGCCGGGCCCCAGCCTTTCCCAGCTTCTACGGTTACTTGCATTCCTTATCTTGTGGCCATCTTCCTCCATCTTCACAACCAGCGGTGTAGCAGCTCCTCTCCGGTTTGATGTCTGCTACTGTTCTACCTCTCTCTGGCTCTGAGTTTCCTGCCTTCCCCCCTATAAGGACTCTTATGGTTACATTTTGCCCACTTAGACTTCCCAGGATAATCTTCCCATCTCTGCATCCTAATTTAGTTGCACCAGCAACATCACTTTGCCATGGAAGTAACATATTCCCAGGTGCCGGGGTGCAGATGTGAACGTCTTCGGGGAGTAGAGCACTTTTCTGTCTACCACATTCTGTAACCTTAGGAAAGAACTTTTCCTTTCTGAACGTCTCCATTTCTCCCCAAACTGGAGATTACGATACAAGGGCACATTTAAAAAAGTTCATAGAAAATGGAACTAAAAGATATGTTTCTCTTGGTACCAATATGTTGAAATCCATTCATAAACAGGGAACTCCAAAAATATTGTGGAAAATACATACTATGAATAAACTATGCATGGATTCTAAAATTTTGCTCACCCAAATAAACTTCTCTCTTGATTCCATTTCCCACGGACCTTCCAGGGCACCTTGAACTTCTTCATTCTACTCCTACTGGAATTGCCTATCATTTCAACCACAGATGTAACTCTTCCTGAGTGCTCGTCTGACAAACTGGCTAAGAGTGATGTTTCTTCTTCGTTCAGTTACACATATGTATTGATTGCCAACCCTGTGCCAGGTGGCACTGCAAAGGGTTGGACAGCGTCTGCTACAGGGGAAAAAAAAGCATTCAATAAAAGGTAGTGTGTAGCGGTGTAAGTTAGTTAGATTTTAGTACCTTAACTATATGTCAGCAACAGAGATGAGGCCAAATCTCTTGAGGAACCAACCATCTGATGACTCATAGCACCAGCACCGTGCAGCGTTTGGACAAGAAGCAATCAGCAAGCTCCCACACTGCTCCTGTGATCATGAACTTCAGGGTCTGTCCACTGAGCTCAGTGAGGGCGCAGAGGAGCCTCCGCCTCTCCCCGCGGTAGGGGACGGGGTTAGAGCTGCCTGTGTCCACCCCAGGCTGTGGTTGCTACTCTCCCGGAGCTGCATTTGTTGGTGATCAGGGGAACAAAAAGCAGCAGCCGAGTCCAACAGAAGAGAGACATTAAGGTTGATTAAGTGAGTGAGCCAATTAGCGTCTGGCTTCCTGCAGTGCGGAGTTAATTAGCCTCTCCAAAACAACAACAGCTGCCTTCATGGTGGGGCAGGCGGCCCAGCAGAGAGGAGCCATGGGAAGAGGAATGATAGGGCTGGTGCTTGGCTGCGCTGGGCCCTGCCCTACTGACGATGTAGAACAAAGCCCAGGGAAGGCTCCTCCGCGTGCTTCTAGACAGAGCCAGACCCTTAGGGGAGGGGACTGAGCTCACATCTTGGGTTTGAGGGTTGAGGCTCTCTTAGTTTGTATTCTCACAAAAATCACGACCCTACACCCTGTCTTGATCTTCAATTCCATAATTCACACTGTTTCCTAGTGGTGTTCTTTTTCTTTTTTATATACAAAAGTCAAACATACTTATTGGGGTACACTGGGAAAGGATGGAAAATGCATATAGTTCCTCCATGCTGAAATAGATTTTTTCATTCATTTATTTATCATTTATTGTTCTCTTACTGAATGCTAGAGCCATTCAAGGTTTAGTTTTTTTTTTTTCACCGTGCAAATCTATATGCTCTTTTACAAACAGGACTCACCATGCGGATCCTTGAGAAACCACTGTTTTTAGCAAATGCTGCCAACAGTTTTCCTATTTCATTAAATGTTTTTCTAAGTCCTCAGCCTCAAAGGCTCCGGTTCCATCCATTGCACCACCTTGTAGTTGTCCGTGTATCGAAGCCTCCTGCCTCCTCTTCTAACAGGTTTTGAGAGGAGGAACATCTCTCTTCACACTGTCTCCCCAGTAGATTGGATCCTATGCTGGAGCCAGGCAAGTGCTGGGTGTTCTTCAGAACCTGGGTGATGAGTGTGCACAGGGAACTGGTCCTTCCCGGAAGGTCACTGAGGTTGTCTCTGCTCGTTTGCTATTATGGAAAGTGCTAAGGGGGTGGGCGTTTGGTTAGGTCACCAGTTGGGATGCCCGCACCACATATCAGAGTGCCTGGGTTCAGTCCTGGATCTGCTTCCTAGTCGAGCTTCCTGCAAATGCACACCCTGGGGGCCACAAGTAATGGCCCAACCCTTGAGTCCCTGCCACCCTCATGGGAGACTGTGATTGAGTTCTGGGTGCCTGGCTTTGGCCTGGCCCAGCCCTGACTGTTGCTGGCATTTGGGTAGTGACTCAGTAGATGGGAGATCTCTTCCCACCTGTCTCTCTGCTTTTCAAATAAAATCAAGATAAATGAACTAAAGTTTTAGAAAACACTCTAGTTACATTTAAGATTGACTTCAGGGCTGGTGCCGCGGCTCACTAGGCTAATCCTCCACCTTGCGGCGCCGGCACACCGGGTTCTAGTCCTGGTCGGGGCGCCGGATTCTGTCCCGGTTGCCCCTCTTCCAGGCCAGCTCTCTGCTGTGGCCAGGGAGTGCAGTGGAGGATGGCCCAAGTGCTTGGGCCCTGCGCCCCATGGGAGACCAGGATAAGTACCTGGCTCCTGTCATCGGATCAGCGCGGTGCGCTGGCCACAGCACGCTGGCTGCGGTGGCCATTGGAGGGTGAACCAATGGCAAAAGGAAGACCTTTCTCTCTGTCTCTCTCTCACTGTCCACTCTGCCTGTCCAAAAAAAAAAAAAAAAAGATTGACTTCAACTATAAGTCAGCAAAAAATCCACAGCACCGTGGCTTAAACAGATGGAAATTTATTTCTCTTTTGCAAAAGTCCAGGAAGCCAGTCCAGGACTAGTGTGAGGGGACCGGAGGCCATTCACGGGGGGCAGGCATTCCGCATTGCAGTTAAGAGGCTGCTTGGCATGCCCGCCTCTTTCATCAGAGAGCCTGGGTGGAGTCCCTGCTCCACTTGCAATTC